TCGCTTGGACCATTAACGTCTTCAAGATCAATTCATTTTCAATGGCCTTTGATGGTAAAACGATCTGCGAAATTAATACGCAAATGAATATTTCTACGAATTCTCTAATTATTATTAATAGAAATATATATCTATATATATTTTTATTAATTTTTATTTACTTACCCTAACCAATTCTTGAGGAGGTATTCTATACAAATTGATATCGTTGCATAATCTCTCCATGATACATTTAAATTCAACTTTAGGATCGAGCTTAGTTGGTTTCGTTTTGATCCTATGATTCGCCCATTTCAACATGGCCTCGAATTTTTTTATCTCCGCGACCTCGGGACGGCTTGACATTATCGTTTGTACCATCGACTCGCTCAATGTTAGGAAGTCTGGATTTTGAAAGAGTTGATAAGCTCTTGTCTTAACGAAAGCCAATATCATGTCGATCAAATCGTTCGCCGATGTATAACGCCAATAATAATTTTCAAGGGCGCATAACATCACGCAGACTATCTCGATACGTAGATATTGTTTAGCGTGATGGAAACAAGCTTGAAGTAATTCTGGCAAATCATAGTGTTCGGCCGCGCATATCAGACCTGGTATATTGCTGCAGGTCAAAGGACAAGAGCCAGTATGTAGATAGTCCAATAAGATTCTGAAGGTTTCCGGATCGAACTCGATCACGTCGAACTATTAAAATTTATATTTGTCAAAAAAGAAAAAAAAAGAAACATTGTTAATATATATATATATTTTTTTTTTCTTTTTCTTGTTTTTTTTTTTTTTTTTAAGATCAACGAATTAATAAATACCTCGGTTTGGGCAAGTTTTGCACGATCGACCTTTTGTGCGTCAGCATAAACGCTGAGCCTTGGTACAGCCAAATATTCAGCGGCCTTATCCTTATCCTTTGCGTCTTTATCTTAAAAATGAAGAAATGTTCAATGACAAATAATATTGTTGAAATGTATATATATGTATATGTGTGTGTGAATGTTATAAAAAAAAATTTATACTAACTACTGCAATCCTGTGAACTGGCCCATCGTTTACGATCCTCGCTCTGCAATGTATTACTTCCGTGTTTCCTGATGCTTCTTCCCCAACCGGCAGTTAAGGTTCCAAGTCTCGAGATGGCACGTTTCACCATCGGTGATGAGGGCACACTTTTGGGCCTAAACAGATTAGAACCAGTATCTCACAGAATAAGCTAAAGCGGCACCTCGGGGTACGGATGGGATTTTGAAATATTGGACAAAGGATTTTTTATATTCTTTGAAGGACATGATTTGTTTGGAGAATCGATAAACCTCAAATTTTTTATATTATTGTTTTTCCCTGTTTATTTTTTCTTTTATTCAATGATTTACAAGGAGACTCGCATGCCGATGATACAGCGTGTACGTTTTACGTCACAGTTTTACTGTTAAAATTACAAAAAAAAAAATATATATATATAGTGTATATAAGTAAAAATAAAAAAAAAAAAAATAAAGAAAAGTGTAAGAGAGATAGATGGTGCAAGAAAATTTAAGTAAAGCTGCGGTGCTATTAAAAAAAAAAAAAAAAAAAAAAAAAAAAAAAATGAAAAAAAAAACAGAAAAAAGACGTTTTTCTTTTATTGCCTTATCCATAAAAATTTTGTAGTGTTTCATTGCAAATACACCGGAACGCAAACGATACTGCTGTGCATTTGCTTCATATCGACAAAAAAAAAAAAAAAAAAAAGAAAAGAAAAGACATGCGACACAAAATCGAATAATATGCTTTAATATATAAATATAAATATAAATATAAATATAATTATATATATGTATATATATATATATATATGTATATATAAATATATCATTTGTAAAATTCTTTCGTTGAGCTTTTTAAAAGTTCAATATTTAAAAAGAATAATAGATAATAATGAGACGGAATAAACATGCGGTGCTTTAAGGATAGGAGACATGGATGTGCCGTGAAATAATACATATAATAATAATAATAACAATAATAATAACAATAATAATAACAGTAATTATATAAATATATATATATAATATATATATATATACGTATAATATATCATATATAAAAACAGCATTCGACATTAAAAATGCAGGCATTAGTCTCACGACTTGAGAACATTCCAAGTATTAACTTAGTTATGATAATCCATTTGTTTTCTTTTTCTATTTATTTTTTAATTTTTTTTCTTATTTCTTTTCTCTCTCTCTCTCTCTTTCTCTCTCTCTCTCTTTTTTTCTTTAAAATTTCAATTCAATCAAAATTGCACGTGCAGAAAATAATAATTTTGCATTCGATTCGACACCAATATTGATTTCCTTTAATTCGAGCATTACAAATAGAAAATTTGGAAAAAAGATTTTAAGCGCAAAAAAGAAAATTATTCAAATGAGTAATTTTTTTCGATTTATTTGCTTACCTAATTACTGCAATAAATAAATAAATAGATAGATAGATAGATAGATAAATAGATAGATAGATAGACAGACAGATAGATAGATAGATAGATAAATAGATAGATAAATAGATAGATAGATATATAAATAGTTGAAGATAAGTACATACATGGATTCCATTTATATCGTTTATCTTCCATTTTCATATCAGATTTTCAATAATATGAAACTATGCCCGCGATATTAACCTAACGATAGAGGAAAATATTATAATAGATGATAGCGTACCTAGGACTTTCCATGTCGGGAACTTGTAGAAAATTAGAACTCTTTGGTTTTTGTGGACTAAGCAATGTAGGTGCTGGTCTAGCTAACAATTCGGCGACTGGCACTTGAGGACTTCCAAAACCTGCTTGAATCCCATATAACATTTCTTGAAAGACCCTAAAACGTTCAAGATAATGTTAATAATAATTTTCATTTGATTTGACATCTTTCGTAAGGATTAAATGTTATCAAACAATTTTAATCTATAAGAAAAATTATTTTTATAAATGTGTGTTTTTTTTTCTTTCTTTTTTTTTTTTGAGTACAAAATTTTTGAGAGTAAAAAAAAGAAAGAGAGAGAGAAAGAAAAGAAAGAAAAATTACTTTCTGTAAAATTCAATTCGTTTTATTAGAAAACGACTAACTTTTGTAAGAAAAGAAGAAAAAAAAAAGAAAAGAAAAAGAAGAAACAACCAGTTTTTCCAAGTAATTAAAAATGACATAAAAAAATATTTTTCTTTTTATTTTAGTATTATAATAATACATTAATTTACCTGCTTCTGACAGCCAAGATAGCTCTAACTCCAATAAATCGGACCTTTTGTTTCTGTTGACCAGGTACAAGGAAGGATACGTCGAAGAGATTGGCATTCAAAGAAACATTTTCAGTATTGTTTAAAAATACTTTAGTGAAATCTTTGGCCAGCTGATCGTAATCCTCGAATTTATCACGAACTGAATCTAAGAGGGGTGAAAATGGTCTCATATGTCCAATCGGTCTCCAGGATCCTCGTCTAGATCAATTAGATCATATCATAAATCGAATTTAATAGATGTAATACGTATCATAATAAAAACATTAATTACCTATATGGTTTTGGAATTTGTCCTGTTTCCGCGTGATTGATCAAATTAGTGACAATATCCTCCATCATTTGGCTTCTTGTTCTTTCTTGCATTCTCGCAAATTTTGGTGCCGAATAACTCGCCCTTTCGCCGTTAACAATTTTTGTTAATATCCATTCCCGGAACATCGGACCTATTTTTGTAATTTAACGATGTAAAAACGAAGAATGGAAAACAAAAGGACGTAGTTCAAGGTAAAATAAATGATTTGTAAAAGAAAAAAAAAAAAATATGTAGATATGAAGATCTTCCCTTTTTTTTTTTTGTTTCTTTTGATATAATGAGACGAACCTTTTTCAAAGACACTCTGTTCCCACAGATAAGGTTTGTACGCTCCGACTTCATCTCTGGTTACCACCGATACCTCATATTTGGTAATCTCTTTTTGAGGGCTTTTAGTTTGAGCAGCAGGACTCACGCGTACCAATATAAATGTGTGCAAGAAATGTGACTTTATACAGGCAGGATTGAATCTTGTTTTATCAGCTTCCAGAAATACAACGCAGACAATGTCGTTGCCAATGTGTCTTTTCCTTTGAAGCTATTATTTTTCAATAATAATAATAATAATAATAATAATTATTATTATTATTATTATTATTATTATTATAATTTATATATATATATATTTTTTATTTTTTTAATTTATCAATGAAAAAAAAAAAGAAAAAGATTGTTATCATTACCTTTTGCGTATCGTGTTTCTCGTAGGGCAATAGGGTCGACACATGGAACATGATTTCAATGCCTCGCCAATTAGTATAGACCGAATAAATGCCAGTTAAATTGTGAACTGTATCAAGGCCACCTTTGTACTTGTCAAATCCCTTTAATCTGACCTTATCACCAAGTATCTGAAGGAATTCTTCGAAAAGCGGTGAATTTTCGTTGTTATCAAGTATCTCCTCTTCGGTACATTGTTCCTCTCTCACATATATCACTCCAACTTTCACCTCGGACTTGATAAAAGCTTGATCGAGCTTGAGAAGTTCCTCTGGGGTGTCCGGCAATTGGCCAAGCGTCAACGGTGGATTGATGTTCACCTCTTTACCAAGACTACGTACAACCTCTTCTCGATTGTACCTAGAGACGAGAAATATTGCTGTCCTTGACACATTTCTCAGAACTATTGAGAAATAAAGAAAGAAAGAAAGAAAGAAAGAAAGAAAGAAAAGAAAAAGGAAGGGAGAAAGGAAGGAACGAAGGAAGGAAGGAAGAAAAAGGAAAGAAAAATCGAATAAACATGTTCCCTCGAAACTTATCCTTGGAGGCATTTTTAACTTCGTATTAAAAAGTTTTTCATTAATTTTTATTAACTTCGTAATTTGCCAAGTCAGACAAAGTACAAAGTACACGATTTGTTCTCCTTTTTGATTGATTACTATTGTAATTAAATCTTTTTATTTATATATATATATTTTTTTTTTGTTTTATACATATATATATATAAAACAAAAAAGAAAAAAAAAGCGATCCGATTAATTAAAATTAATTCGTTGAAGAGATTCATTACTTTTTCAGAAGATAATCGTATATATAACGTTATGACGTCGAATTTAGGATCTATAATTTGCGATATACGTACATTCATCATCACCATCATCATCATCATCATCATCATCATCATCATCATCATCATTATCATCATTATCGTCATCATCATTATTATCATTTCATTATCATTATCATCACAACCACCGATATCATCATCGTTTATTCTCATTAGTCATTAACAACTATTTAGCTAATCTATTTAACAATTACCGATCAGCGAAGACACAGCTGGCTGGTATAAGTCCATGTACCGTATAACTGATAGCCCTTACGAGTATCCTAAATTGATCACGTCCATTGAGCGTCTCCTGTTTGATACTGAGTATAACAGGTCCAAGATCTTCGTCGTTGGTGAAATAATTCCAATGTTCTGAAGCGTAAAAGTACTTCTCATATGTTTCTTGCTCGACCGATGTCAATTCGAAACATTGATACTTTTCCCATTGTTCCTCGATCGCAGTTTTCTTTTTCTGGACGTCGTTCGTCTCGAATTCCCTTTCCTCGGACAAGGAAAATTGATTGACCTCGATTTCATCAGGATCTATACCATCCCTGACACTTCTTTCGTTGCTAAGATCAGTAGTGATCTGTTGCCTCGAGCATTCGATCCAATAACCAGGCGCTGGTATAAAGTTGTGCGGATACTCCTGACAGAATTCATCTAAAAAGTAATTGTTAAGATTTTAATCATAAATAGAAAAAGATACGAGAAAGCTATTTATTTATTTATTTATTTATTTATTTATTTATTTATTTATTTATTTATTTATTTATTTATTTATTTTTCTTTTACTTTTTTTATTCTTTTATTTTTTCCCCTTTAAACATTCCCTCATTTCATCAACAACATATTATTTCTTCCATTGATCGAAAAGAGATTGCCAATTTTTCTATTTCCTTTTTTTCTTTTTTTTTTCCTTTTTTTTTCTTTTTTTCTTTTTTTTTTTTTCATCGTAAAGAGAACAAAATTGGAATGACCGTTCGTTTTCTTTTTCGTTTCTATGTGTATGTATATATATTTTTTTTTTTTTTACACATCCGTCGTTTTACCAACATTATATTGTTACTCATTGATTTGAAAGATTGTCGATTAATTTTATTCTAAAAAGAATAAAACTGGGACGACTGTATATATTATTTCATTTTATTTTATTTCATTTTTTTTTTTATTTTTTTTTTTGTTTTTTTTTTTTTGTTTTATTCAAATACTTTTCGTTCTACCGGCATTTATATTGTTTCTCTCGTCGATTAAAAAGATTGTCAATTTCTTTCTTATATTTTCTTTTTTCTTTTTTTTTTAAATCATAAAAAGAACAAAATTGCGACGATTATTTGTTATTTGTACTTTCTTATTTTCATTTTTATTATTACTTTTTTTAATGCATCCCTCGTTTTATCAACATTATATTGTTTTTGTCATTGATTAAAAAGAAACTAGAACGTGCCTCGTCGATACAAAAGCACACACATGCGCGCACGCACTCACATAAATATATATATATATATACATATATATATACATATATACATACATACATATACGTACGACGACATAAAATTACATTTAATCTTAATCAACAGGACAAATTCATCCTCACGTAGCTCGTTCGAAGTTACGAGGGAAATCGTGTTTATGATTGCATCAAATCGTGGAAGCGTACAGCGGCTCTTCTCATAAGCAATTGCATCTCGTCAAGGGTTAGAATGAGAGATGAAATTTATTTACAAAAGTACATATTGGAGATAAAAAATAATATAAAAAGGGCATCTGTGTAATATTGATAGAAGAAACAAAGAAAGAAAGAAAGAAAGAAAGAAAGAAAGAAAGAAAGAAAGAAAGAAAGATATAAAGAAAAAAGGGAAGAAAAATCATTATGATTGAAAAAGAAACAACGAGTAGAGAATTTTTCGAGTAGTAAAGAATCAAGCAAATGCAATAATAGTCGAAACACTTTTAGAATAAAGATAAAGACAAATATAGATAGAGACACAGACACATAAACAGAGAGTGAGAGAGACATACAGAGAGAGATGGAAAAAAAGAAAGAAAAAGAGAGAGAGAGAGAGAGAGAGAGAGAGAGAGACAGAGACAGATTCCTATTTTTTGTTGGGCAAGATGATTTTCTTCCACTTAAACACGTACTCCCGATAATGTTCCAGTATACCTTCTATCATCATATTGTTAATACTCTTTAACAAATTCGTCCTTCCATCTTCTTTCGAAAATTCTTCTTTCGAAGTTCTCTCAGGTTCTCGTATTTCTTCGTTTCGTTAGTTTTCTTTCCTTTTTCTTTTTCTTTCTGTTTTCCTTTCCTTTCCTTTCCTTTCCTTTTGCTTTTGCTTTTGCTTTTGCTTTGAACGTTGACGATAACGCAGTCGACCCACTGTAAGGTAGAACACCAAGCTGTTTTTAAACAGGGCTTGGTATTCAGACTTAGAGTGAGCCGCCTGTGTTGCCCCTTTTTTTCTCTTTTCTTTTCTTTTCTTTTATTTGATTTCTTTCTTTTTCTTTCTCTTTTTCTTTTTTTTTCTTTTTTATTTATTTCTTATATCTTTGCGACTCCTGACTTCATTTTGGATCCATTCATTTCAAGTGCGTTCCATTAATCGCTCATTAAACAATTAATCCAATCCTTTGTTGTATCCTATTTATTTTTCATAAAGAAAATCTTCACGAATAATAATAATAATAATAATAATAATAATAATAATAATAATAATAATAATAATAATAATAATAATAATAATAAAAATAATAACAATAGTAAAAATATCTTGTTGTTAAGATCGATTATCTTGTCGTTAACTTGCTCGTTGATTATCGTTTAATTTAATTTCTTTCTGTTGACGAGAGGTTAAAGTGTACAATAAAGAAAAGAAAAAGTGGAAGATAAAAAATGAATTATATATAAAGGTTTGCGTGTACGTGCATACGTGCTTACGTGCTTACGTGCTTACGTGCATGTATGCGTGCATGCGTTAAGGAGAGATTCTCTCTGTATATGTGCATGTGTATGTGTATGTGTGTTTGTGTGTGTGTGTGTGTGTATGTTTGTCTGTCTGTGTTTTTCTTTTAAATAATCGCGCTTAATCCAAGATAGGAGAAACCACCTGTAGCTATACGCCTCGTACATATACGCGCTTCTAAAAGTTCTTAACTTATACATACATACATATATATATATATGTGTGTGTGTGTGTGTGTGTATGTTCTGCTTTCTAAGCGACTCTTTGAATCGTTACGAAGTCGAGTTCGCGTAGAGAAATTGAAAGAGACAGGAAAAATGAGATGGAAAAGAAACTTGATAGAAAAAGAGCAGAAGAAGGATGCGTAAACGAACGCGATTTAAATGAAGATTTTAAGGAACTGTTGAAAGAAAAAAAACGAAGAAAAAAAAGACAACAACAACAACAACAACAAAAAGAAATATCGAAGAGTTCTTTACATTGTTTGTATTGAAATTTGTTCATACAAATATGTGTGAACTTTTTTCATTTATTCGTCGACCTATCTAAGAAAGAGACTTCTCCATTGATAAATATATATCGTACGTGATTCACTATTTCTTCGCAATATGTAAATTTGTAAATATTTATTAATTATCGTACGAACATTTCATTTATAAGTCGATCGAATCAAAGAAAAACTTTTTCAACGATAATTGTATCCTACGTGTTCAGATTTTTTAGTTTATCATTAATTCGTAAATATTTATTTAAATCGTATCTTTTATTTATTTTTTGGTCAATCGAACAAAGAGATTTCTTTTGCATTCGCAAATATATACAGATCTGTTAACAAATGTATACTCATAAATGTTTTATTTATATAGTCATTTCGTATAATCCATATGTATGTTTTTGAATTTATATCAATTATTTATATCAAATTCATACATGTTCATTTCTTAAATTATATCGTATTTTTAATGTTTTATAAAAAAAAAAAAGAAATTTTATAAAGAAATCTTTTTCTTTCTTTTTCCGGTTTTTTTTTTCTTTCCCCATCACCCCCCCCTCCCTCCCCATGTAACATAAATAATTATTACGACGTTGTAACGTTTGAATATAAAAGAAACGACTATGTTCATACCTGAACAAGCCTGAGATGGCAAAAGGAAGATCAATGTGTTAGAAGATTTTCTTCTGGCAACCGCGTTGCCTAAACTGTGTGGCTTGAAGCTGCGCAACAGCTGCATGAAGTCCGAGCACTCCATCAGCGCCACGTCGGCAAAGTGCAGATCGCAAAGTATCTGATTTTTGAATCTGCGAAAGCAATCCGAAGAAATTAACTACGGAAAAAACGAAGATCCCTTAAGAGGGAGAAAAAAAAGAAAAAAGAAAAAAAGAAAAAAAGAAAAAAAGAAAAAAATGACCACGACCTGAAAAGAAAATAAAACGAGAGAAACGTCAACGTCAATTTTTCTCATTCTCGTTCTATCGAAAAGAAGAAGAAAAAGAAGAAAAAGAAGAAAATAAAAGTAAGAAAGTTCGTATTTTCAACCTTAAAAAAAAAAAAAAAAAAAAAAAAAAAAGAAGAAGAAAGGAAAAAAAAAGGGAAAAGAAGAAAAAAGGTAAAGAAAAAGAAAGAAGTTTCTTTCGGGATAATACAAACGTACATAAATAATTGTAAGAACAAAAAAACTAGTCCCTTGCGAGAAAAGTTACTTCGATCTTTATATTCCCCCTTTTCTACGGATATATAATACCTTATTCCAATGTATACATATAAACCTATACCACAAAAATAGTAGCCACTCACCGCCTCGCCCTTTTCTGATTGATTCCCGTCAGATTGACGCCGCAGCTGTTACATTTTAGGCACTCCTCGTGGTAGTGGTTGTTGTCGTACAACGACGACGGTTCTTGAAACAAATAAAACAATGAAATGAATGAGCATATATGTATGGACAAGTCGAAAGAAAGAAAGGAAAGAAAGAGAAAGAGAGAGAGAGAGAGAGAGAGAGAGAGAGAGAGAGAGAGAGAGATAGATGAACAGACAGAGAGACAAAGAGAGAAAGATAGAAAAAGAGAGGGAGAGAGAGAGAAAGAGAATGTTCAAGTACTTTTAAAACTTCGTCCTCTTAGACCCAAACACCTCTTTAAACTTCTTATTTTTCTTTTATTTTATTTTTTTTTTCTTTCTTTCTTTTTTGTCGGTCTTTCCCTTTTTTTCCCTTTATTCGTGTTTTTACTTAACGACCCTTCAACGAGCTCGTGTCGTCTAAGGGTGTGGCACGTACTTTCCTTGTCTTTTTTTTTTCTCCCTCCCTTCCTCCTTCCAACCACCACCCCCCCTCGCCACTCTCTTTCTCTCTCCCTCTTTCACGTTTTCTTTTTCTTTTTCTTGCTCGTGAGACTATCAAGAGAAGTCATAAAGAATTCCAGCACGTGCCAGAACTCAAGAATTTTGATATTTCGAAGCAGATGAGTCGCGATAGTCAGACTGATATATATATATGTGTGTGTATGTGTATGTGTATGTGTGTGTGTGTGTGTGTGTAAGTGCTTTCGTGTTTGTCCACGATAGTTTAATTATGCTACTTCAATATTGCACGACATTCTCTCTTAAACACCTTACGTTATTGCTATTTAATCTAAACACGTCAGTTATCTCCCATATTCGTTCTCTTCTTACGTCTTTATTATTACGATCGACTGTAGATCATCGATCATCGTACGATTTTATTTCTAACAATTTTCTTTCTTACGATGAAATTTATTCCTTTCGATATTATTATTATCATGCGACATTAAAAGAAGATCGTCAATTGTATCCTACGTGATATGATTGTTGTTTGTGTGTTTAAAAAAAAAAAAAAAAAAAAAAAAAAAATGAAAAAATGAATAACAAAAAATAAAGAAAAAGAAAAAAGTAGAAAAGAAAAGATAAGGAAAAAGATTCTGAAAAGAATATAATATATCCAATCGATTGGAAAATCAGCTTTAATACAAAAGTAAACGACGTTAGATCCTTCTCTAGGATCGACAAACTTTTCTGTTAGATTGTAAAGTGGATTTCCATGTGTCCGACTTAACCTAGCCTATTCTACTGGTACCAACCACTCTACTACTAAGTAGAAACATTGCTTTTAGGTAAGACAAGGTAGACGAATTTCGAGACTAATCTCGTTTTCTTATTCGAACCGAAGCACTTTACAGTAACTGTCTTGATATTATAACGTTCGTTCAAGTTTCATGATTTATCGTTATTATTTTTTTTTAATATAAATTTTTTCTCTCTCACTCTCTCTCTCTCTCTCTCTCTCTCTTTCTATATATATATATTTTTTTTTCTTCTTCTTTTTCTAACACTCAATATTCACTTACTGTTCAGTACATTTTTAAATTTGACATACGTGATCGCAATTTGAAGTCGATTTTCCATACAAAATGAGACGTTTGTTTGATAAATACGCGCTCTATTTTACTACATACGTATATATTTATGTGCGCGTGTGTGTGTGTGTGTGTATGTGCACGTGCGCGTGCGTATGTGCGTGTATGTGTGTGTGTACCTTTTCTCATAGGTAATAACACGCCCACGTACTTCGCAATGGCGATTCAAGCTTATCGGTACTTCACCCTCATCTTCATTCTCCTCATACTACTTTTCTCCCTCTTCCTCCTATTCCATCCCTTCTCCTTGTTCTTTTTTTTTTCTTTTTCTTCTTCTTCTTCTTCTTCTTCTTCTTCTTTTTCTTCTTCTTCTCGTTTTCGGTCGTTATTCTCTTCTCCCTCACAAATATATACACGCATACATACACACACACACACACACACACACACATCCACTTAAAAAAGGGATCTCTTATCTTGGTTCAAATATTTTAACGTTCTCCCTCTTATATGTATTCTAATGTGATTAGTAAGCTATTTTTATAACTTTCTTCTTTTTTCAAATGTTCCCTTCTCTTCTTTATATATTTTCTTATCCCCCTTATTTGAATTTTTACCTTCCCTTTTTTTTCTTTTTTTATTTTTTTAAGTGTATAAGTTTTCATGGGTATAATTTACAGGTCTATATATATATATATATGCTATATAAAATGTGTAGTATATATTATGTAATACAATTAATATTGCAATGTTTTACGATGTTACCAAAGAAATATCAAGATATTTTATATTAATATATTGGACTGTTTAATACATATTTTAAATAAAATATTAATATTTCATATAGTAATATTTATAATATATTTATGTTATAATATATATAAAATTGTACTACATAATATTATATATTGCTACATAATATATACCGATATATATATATATATATATATGTCAAAAAAAAAAAAAGAAGAGGTCAAAAATGTAATAAAAAAAATATTCGTTTTATTGCAACCAACGATTCGGTTTCGTTCATACCAATGAAAGAATCTTTTTAATATTTTTTTTCCCCCCTTCTTTTTTCCTTTTTATTTTTTTAATTTGAACGATATAGAAAGAATGAATTTACTTTGAATCGTAAGAATGAAAGGCAAAGGATTAAAAACGATGTTTCACGAAACTACCTACTGAAAACTAGGTGTACATACTTTATGAATATTCAGTAGGGACGTTCACGATGTTACGCCTCGACTAGTAGACATCTCTGATGGCTCGTTCTAAATTCAAAATGTAATTACACGCAGATATCAAATGTTAGACCACAATTGCACGCGAGTTTTCTTCCGTTAGGTATGTCCCTTTATGTAAATACATATGTGTATAGATATTTTATATATATATATATATATATATATATATGTAAGTAGATATATGTGTGTGTGTATGTATGTTCGGTAATAAAAAAGAATAACCTTTACGATTATTATGATGCATTTATTGAAGTATGATATTCTTTTTCTTTTTCCATTTATTTTCATTTTCATTTTTATTTTTATTTTATTATTTTATTTTCTTGTTCCTTTTTTTTCTTTTCTTTTTTTTTTCTTTTTTTTTTTTGAATTATACGATAAACTTGTAACAATATCAAGATGATTCATATCGACAAAATTAAATTCATTTTTATAGGGGAAAAAAAAAGAAAAAAGAAAAAAAAAAGAAACTTTCCTTATCTCGGAATGTTAATAATAAAATGAGCGTTGTAATTTTCATGCTCTTTATAAAATAGCAATTTTTTATATAGACGATTTATATCAATTGCAATCAAATTGCATTTTTATAGCGACTTTATATATATATATATATATATATATATATATGCTACGTTGTAATCTAAATCGATCGAATTGAAATTTTATTGCGAATTGAGGAATTCCACGATTTTATTATTATTATTATTATTGTTATTATTATTATTGTTATTATTATTATTGTTATTATTATTATTTTTTTTTTAAATACACAAAATATTCTTCATTTTGTAAAGTTAATAGCAATAAATGGAACGTTGAAATTTTCCTGAGATTATAAAATTACTGTTCCATTGGATAATCTAAATCAATTCGCAAAAAAAAAATTGCATCTTCATTGGGATTTAAAAAATGAAACGAATGAAAAATTTTATTAATCTGATAAGAAATAATTAATAATAATAATTTTATTATTATTACTATTATTATTATTATTATTATTATTATTATTATTATTATTATTATTTTGAAATAGATAAAAATTTTTCATTATGAAAATATGAAATCAAATTTGAAGATACAAATGTATTAATATTTCTTTATTAATAATTTTAATATTGGAAGGATCTTGTCTAACGTTTCAAGGATGTTAAAAGATAAAAGTACGTAATCAGTCTACTTTACGGAAATTAATAATAAAGGCGTTCTATTGTCCGAGAAATGTATGAGCGAAGTTAGAATTCGCCAATAGCTTGACGACGTAGAATTTATAGAGAGCTAATGAAATTCCTGAAATCGCAGCGTTCAAAAGGTGATAATGAAAATGATGACGTCCGCCATATTTCCATTTGATTTCTTACCAAAAAGAGAGAGACAGAGAGAGAAAGAGAGACGTTAGAGAAATTAAATTATAGTCCAATTAACATTTTAATAATTAATTCCTTATAGTGATAATAATAAGAATAATAATAATAATTAAAAAAAAAAAAAAAAAAAAAAAAAAAAAAAAAAAAAAAAAAAAAAAAAAAAAAAGAATTTGTAATTATTTAATATGACATATAAATGTTAAATATATATATATATTTTTTTTTATAAATATAATTTTTGTATTATTTTTAACATTTACACGAATTATAGAAAAGTGTTAAATTAATTATATTAGATGCATTATAAAAATTAATAAATATTTAATATGATATATAAACATTATTATATATAAGAAATATATATATATATATACGAAATATAATTTATGTATTATTTTTATCGTTCAGACAAATTATAGGAAAGTGTTAAGTTAATCATGCTAAATACATCGTACATAGAAGAATGATTGAATAGTCGTTTCCGAAGGCATGAGTTTATAGTATCTTCTTTCTCTCTCTCTCTCTCTCTCTCTCTCTCTTTCTCTATGATCATTCTCACGAACACCACTACATTAGATTTAACGATCGTTCAACACCTGGCACTACCTTCTCCCAATAAATTGCCTTGATCGTTGAAGTAAGAATTATCGACAATATTATCCTGATTTATATGCATAATGGAAAACGATTTTCAATCTTTATAATCGTCCAATTAAAAGGAATCCCACGATCGATAAGAAAATTCCATTGGTATATTCGTGACGTTTGAGGGAAAAGAACAAAAAAAAAAAGAAAAAGAAAAGAAAACCATTTATATAAAACTTCGCAAATATATTTCTCTCTCTCTCTCTCTCTCTCTCTTTCTCTCTCTCTCTCTCTATTTTGTTTTACTTTTCTCTTTCTTTATATATTTTT